TAACATATAATGGTAAAAGAATTATTAACTACCGTAATATTTTTGAAAAATGTCTTTGTTATAAACTCAATTTATTATTATATTGATAGATTTTGTTATTATATATTGAGCACAATAGCCGATTGTATTTCTCCGTGTTCTTTGTAGGAGTTTCAAGTTTATGAAGAAAACTATTCGTTATAATTCGAAGCGTTATTTTTTAATAATAAATTTGCTTTATAATATTATGATTGACTTACTTGCTGGGCGCAGAAAATGTACCGCAACGACAGGACTTAAATAACCAGGAATGTTCGTATACGGGTAATAATAACCTGGAAATCCTTGAATTTCTGGGTAGTACTTCAGTTCACCAATATTTTCAGTATCATAAGGATTTTCTCCTTTGCACGATACCCACACGGTATTCAACTAGAACACAGAAAAGAACATATTACCGATAAAATGAGAAATAAAAATAAATGTACAAAATATTTGATTACAATTTGTACAATAGTAGGTGTATATAAACGTACATATGATTACATTAGATAATTTAACACTTAGAGTGTAAATGTAAAGCGTTTAAATATCAAAGTAAAAAGGAGTTATAAAATATGTAGGATCATGTTTGAATTTGCTAAGTTATGTAATCTTTGTTAATTAAATAATCAAATTTTATAAAGTCAATTTATTCATATCTTTATAAGGATTAGTAATTTATTAGTCAAATATTTCTTAATATTTTGTCGATGCGGAGAATTTTCGAATAAAAAAATTTATTCTGAGTAATTTTAATATTCTTAAATGGTTATATAATAATTTTATATTAACTTAAAATCGCTGTTTTGCTCGAAAAACTGTTTTTTCAATCTTAAATGGAAAAATTTAGAATCTTATGAAAAAAATTGTAAAATCAGTATTACATAGTGTCGTTTCTTGGTGACTTAATACTGCGATTAGTGCAATTAACTTACCATTGAACTGTTAACGGACTGAATGTGTTCGACAAGACTCGCTGGCATATCCTTTGGCAAGTCTACAGTGTTATTATAATATTCTGGTATCCAACCATATATCTGTAAATTAAGCGTTTATTGATTAATACATACTAGAACCAATCAAAATTGTTCACCAGAAACAATATTTAGATTGCTAACAATAAGTGTCATAATAATTATTAAAGCTTTTAATAAATAATAGACGACCAGAATGAAGACTTTAATAGTAGAGATTTTATTAATTTAAATAAAAAATTCTAATTATCAGTTAAAAGTATGAGACTTGGTTCTAAAATTAATGGATGAGTGAAATAAATATTTCATAAAAATTTAAGTAATTAAATGAAGTTTAAGAAACTTCTTTTTCATTAAGATAATCAATTTTGTTTTTAACAAGTTTTGTGTATAATATTTACTTATTTCAAAAAATATTCTTTACCTACACTTTTTTATTTTATTCTAAAATGCTTAAGTATTTGACGCAAGAAAAGACAATGAAGCGTATACATAAGTAAAATTCGATAAGATAAAGAATATGTTAGATGTATTGTTAGAAAGTAAATTCTTTTCTGCAAGCTGATCAAAATGTATAATATATTTTCTCGAAGCTTTGATCTTCAATGTATTAACAAATTAATATTTGTATAATGAAGAATTTGACGTGTTCTTGTACGCGGTTAACAATAAAATTTGTTTCTTCGAAATAAATAACATCTGTGTTTAAATTGTTATAACGTGTATAAAAAACAATTCTTTCTTTGTTTTTACTTAGTTGCATTATTTCTTATAAAAAAAAACGTCAAAACTTTTACATCAACTCAATATATAAAATAAAGAAATTGATAATTGTTATAATTAATAACATAGAAATGACTTCAATCTACAACAAAGTCTAAACAGATATTAACCCCTTGTCATATGATTTTCTGTTCAACTAAACTAGACCAATTAACTTTACTATCAATAATTCGCAAGGAATGTTAATAAACATTTCATTCATTGTAAGTGCGTATTAACTTTGAAGGTGAAATATTGAAAATAGCAGAACAGTCTTCTGCTTTGGTACATGTGCAATGAAGAACATTGATTTTTATTGATTTAATCTGGAAATCTTCACCATGTATTTCGCTGGTCATCGTAAGGCAAGGAGTTAATATGTACTTACCCGGCTATTTACGTAAGTTTTTCAAATGGGTATTTTTACCCGATCAGCCAGTTAAGTGTTAACATTTCATACGTATAATCTTAACCGTTTGAGTGCGGAATGGTTTTCTTTGACATAATATAAAAAATATAAAACATCATTTTATATAGGTACGTATATACATATCATAGGTAACTGTAACTTATTACGTTATAATATTACAGGTTTAAACATTTTTTATTACTTAGCAGTACAAGTGTGTTTTGTAAAAATACTGATAAACAACACGAGAGACAACAGCACTCAAACAACAGCACTCAAACGGAAGATAATATTATAGCAGGATTTAATTTTAAAAATAATTTTTACTGATATTCTGATTAAATTACCGTCTCTTTGAATTACACGTACTATTTTCTTATTTAATTATAAGAATTAATTATAAGGATTTATAACATACCCTGTTTAATTTAATGAATACACAAGGAGCTGAATTATTGAAGCTATACTGTTCATTAGGCGAGCAAGGTCCCCAATTATTCACCTCAACTGCGCAAACGTGTCCAGGCTTCACTGGTGTATTGTAATTACAAATTTGTTGATTTCTACCGCCATTCGGTAAGGCCGACGAGTTGATATACTCTGCCAAGAATCAATGTCGTTAATGTTAAAGAGATGTTATATCGTATTAAAATGGTTAAAAAAATTTCTTGATACTTCATCTTATCTTATTTTTAAAAATATTTTAAAGAAAATTTATTTAATACGTTGATAGCTGTACCGGTAATCATAAAAATACCACAAAATCGAAGACAAATTTATTTTTAACCCTTTGTACTCCAAAAATATTTCACTAGTTGTCAGTATCTTCTGATGAGATACAAACGACATACTTGGAAAGCAATTCAATGAGAAATCGCACATAGATTAACCGTTTAAATCTCAGTGCTTCTGAAACAAACCTTGTCGGGAAGATCTAAGCAGTGTGATATGGAGGCAAATTCTAAGTAGTGCGATAATGCTTTTGTTATTCAATCAAAATCATTGAAAATAATACATGATTAAAAAGTACTTACATGGTTTACGTTAACACTAAAACTACCGGACGGGTCAAAATGACCCATTCCTGATTTTTTCTTTTTGCAATTATTTAAAAGATAACAGCTGTTTCACTGAAAAATTATTAAAGTAATTGATATAGCAATATGAAAATTGAATTACAAATCAATCGAAGTTTCAATAAATGCTATCTTAAAGTTTTTACAGAGGAATGTCAAAAAGTCAATTTAACTGTTAGTTAGTTTTACTGTTAAGAAAAGTAAACGATGCAACTGACGAGCATCAGTAAAATTCAAATGTACAGTCAGTTATTCAAGGCTGTCAAACGGTTAAGAAGCAAAGATTTTTTTGTTTCAATATTTCACACATTGATGCATTATACAAAATTATAAATATTAAATGTATTAAACTTTATAACTTTGTGTGTATTAAATCAAGTGGCCATTAAGAGTGGCCATTGGAGTGCAAAAGATTAATGTACAGTGGAACTCCATTTATCTAAATTATAAAACATAGTGCCTTTTTCTCTAAAAATGATTATTAACACTAGGTTTACTATTGTACTATTTTACTATTACTTTCTACTGTTCCTAGAAAAATTGATGTTCGTTCGTTTAGATTTTGGAAATTAGGCATTTCAAAATAGACTATTACGAAATTCAATACGCATCGAATTGACGCACTCTGTAAACCTAGTGTTAATATAGGTCCTGAGTCCAAGTCCACGACGTAGACTCTACGTCAATGCGTTCCAGTCATCACTCTGTATCTCTCATCTCATTCTGTTTACTGTATTCTAATCTTTTTACAGTGTCTTTTTCTACGGTGGGTATCACAAAGCAACGAAAGTATTTGTACAGCATGGCACGAAATAAATTATCACTAACCCCTTAATCTATGATTTCTTTCAGCACCGCGTCCGCAATAATTCCTTTTATATTAATCATTTACTGGAAACAAAATAGAATATCACATTGATCTATATCTACAGTTAATTCGAAATGTAACAATTGATACCAGAAATATAATATTTCATTTGAATTCAAGTGAATTCAAAAGATTCAATTACTTTTGTTAATTTCGGTTTGAGATCTTCACCACGAGTCTGACACGATATTGTACGGTAAGGGGTTAAAGAAGTTGTACACCGTATATTTCTATTTGTTGAAACAAGTTGCACTCGTGGTATATAAATGCAATAAAATTTAAAAAATGTGTAGCAATATATAAATAAAGTATGGAATATTTATTTTGTCTAAGCATGCATACCGTTCGAATAGTTTCGTTGCTGGCCGTATATCTTTTGCTTTATACTATTAATATTGCTGTAGAAGTACTTATATGAACTGTGTAATAAATATTAAAATATATTTGTCTTATTTATATCCGTAACAAATTTCCTGGTTTATTCGGATTTTTGGGCATCTGAATTCAGCTTGCTCTGGTTTGAGTTGGTTAAACGTCGTTTCATTGTATTAGAAAGTATAACTGAATTTATTACAGCGATTCCACTATTAACATTTCTATATTTACACGAAAACAAATTGTCCAATTTGCTTAAATTTTCCATGACCATTAAGGCAATCAGTGCGATAACTTTTAACATTAACTTTATCCTATATCTACCAAATAGACATGTTATTTGTATGTAAAACTACTTACAGTAAAATGTCGATTATTCGAAATAATAGGGAGACGTATTCGTTCCGATAATCGATTTTTTGAATAATCCAGCAAAAAAATATTGAATGTGCAAACATATGATGAAATAATTAACACGTTTGTTACCGGTAGTACATACTTGTGACGATCAATATTTTATATTTTGTGCAAAGGAAAATAAATTATATTTACTTATGTTTTCATCCAATATTGTAACGGATGGTATAATGTGCAGGAAGTCGGGGAGATTTTTCTTTTGAATATTATTTGTATCTTATAAAGATGATATATTTTATTTAATAAAATATTGTAATCGCGAAGACTGTTCTTGAAAGCAATGCTATCATCGAATGGGCTAATTCGTGTTCCAAAATATAAACATTATTACATTGTCTTAATATTTGACACAATTTGTGCCCGATAATCGGTCCCTCAGGTAACCTGTACTTACATATTCGCATAATCGACGTTTCACGATACATGCTAACTTGTATTTATACCCTAAATCAACAATATAAAAAAAAAATGAATTTTTATGCGTCCCGGATACAAGCGACCATTCATAAAAATATCTATATTTACATGTCCCAATGTCAAAATGTGTGTAGTATAGGTCTACCGAGCATTAGGGTTAGAGAAAGGAGGAGCCAGTCGATGAAAGATACAATTCTGTAGAATGAGCTTTGCTGCCAGCCACCTAAGCCCAACCCTTCAATGAGGTGCTCACTTAATACTTTTTCAGTCACATGTCAGTCAACTACGTCGCGAACTTCTGTGCCTGTGAGGGCCCCTGCAGAATGTTTTTAAACGTAAGGAGTGGGATCGCGCTGTGGTGAGGATAGTTGCTAGGTCCATTCGGTTTCCTATATTCTCTCCGGATAGAACGGTCTCTAATGTTCGGTAGACCTATAAATATACAGTGTGTCCGGTATAAGCGAGAAGAATTAAAAGTTTAAGAAATATGAAAGATATGGAAAAATATTTTAGATATGTATGTCTTAAAAACAGTAGAATTTTATTGAATGTTGCGAAGGCTTTGATAAATCCAATATTCCAGTGCTCCGCAACCGCTGTGCCGCGATGATTTTCTCGAGAATAAAAAAATTGTTTAACCATCACATTAGTTAGAAATTTCTCTAAGTCAAATATTCCTCTAACTTTTTGCCAATATGCAATTTGTCTAAGTTGAAATAATACACAAAACAAAAACATGTAGTTACCATACATTGTATGTATGTATGCTCGAGCGTCGGCATCTTTGTGTCCGATTGTCTGCGGCAATGATGGGCAATGAAAGAGGTTTTATTTCGTGCGTAAAACGGCAAAATCCTAATATAGAAATTACACACTGTTACATACATCGCGAAGCATTGATGATCAAAAACTTGCCTACGGAACTATTGCAACCGATGAATCAATGCATTCCTATCATAAACATTATTAAATCAAGAGCCCTTAATTCGCGAATTTTTAAATTAATCATCTGTGCACTATCCCGAGGCAAAGTTTTGAGTAGATTGTTTGAGCTTCGCAACGAGGTTCGTGAGTTTTTGTTAAAACAAAATATGACCGAACTACGTTAACTTTTTGAAGATAATCACTGGATGGCCAAACTTGCATATATCGTTGATATCTTTGAGCAACTGAATGAACTGAATAAAAAAATGCAAGGTCGAAGCGAAAATTACCTGACGTGTTCCGACAAGTTAATGGGGTTTAAAAATAAGCTCGAACTTTGGCAGAGAAGATTACAAAAAGGATCTCTAGAAATGTTCCAAGAGACTTGCAAGTCCATGATTAGAAACAAACAATTAATTCTGGATCTGACTCAACAACATTTAAGTTTGCTGCAAGAGAAATTTAATCGCTATTTTTTCACGATTAATATGGAGCAATATATAAGATAAGAAATCTTTTTCTAGCCGATGCCGAAAATTCTAAGAAGCACTATCTTCTCAAATTCGAGAGGAATTTATAGAATTGAGGAACGACGGAACGCTGAAACTCAACTTCAATGAAATATCATTCGCTGATATCTAGATTTCAGATAAGAAAGAATATTCTCAAATTTCCAGCAAGGCTATTGTAATTTTGCTCCTATTTTCTACGACATACTTATGCGAATAAAGTTTTTCAACACTGGTTCTAATTAAAAATGACAAACGATCGTGTTTAAAGGTCTTGACCATGAACTTTGGGTAGCATTTTCTAATATAGAGCCAAATATAAAAGGTATATGTTCATCAAAACAAGCTCAAATATCTCATTAATAAATTATCTATTATGTTTAAATTAACTTTGATTAAATAGGCATAAGTAAATGCCAAACAACAAACTTTATATTTAAATTTAAAGAGGACATTTTTTTACATGTAATCTATAACTATATATTTTCGTTCTTGTGTTGGTGTATAATTCCAACTGCTTTATATAAAACTTAAATAAAAGTAAATATCTGTATACATAGAGCTATTGTATCGTGCTTTTTATCTAATAAAAACATGTACGTATTATTGTAATTTATGTATTTGCAAGCTTTTATTTGTGTACCGTTGTTGTGCCGCGGAAGATAAGAGGTGCGGAGCACTGCAATATTCTATAGGGTGCTTATTTGTAGCTTTTGCACAGGCCTGTTTTATTTAAAAAATAAACTATTATATACAGATGAATTCCTCTTTTTATTTGCTAAAAAATTAAAGCAATGAAAGTATATCGTTTCATTTGAGAAAGTGTAGAAGACCTTGTAATTTTGTTCGGTGAAAAAGTGTTTATATACTTTACCTTCTAAAAATTTGTCTAACAAGCCCGTCCATTTTTGCACGGACGCTGGATCTGATGAACTGTACCAAATTAACGATCTTTCATGTGTATTGTTCGAGATTGGTCGAAAGCCTAGACCTATTGACACATAAAAAGGTGGTTATTGAGGCAAGTAGAAATTATCAGAAGTGTTTTTACACATGTATTATAATTATAACAGATTATTCAACGTAAAATCATTAATAAACATTATTCAATTCTACACTTTTATAATTAATATCTTTGAAGGTAATTTATCAATTTTCCTCCTAATTTTATCCAGTTATTTATACATAACCATTAAGTTTTACGTTGAACAATTGTAACATAGGATTAAAAAAAATGTTTTAAGTAAACAATATTATTCAAAAGTTTGATTTTGATATTTACGAATTTATGTGTAATATAAATGAAAGCGTAGAGCTTCGACGATTTTCCTAATAAAAGATTTTCAGAATAATGTTTGTCTCTGAAGTTATTCAAAGCAAAAGGTTTTTATTTAAAATTCAGAAAAATCGAGTTTTCAAAAGAATAAGTTTCTTGACAGTTTATTTGTCGATAATACGTAACTCACTTTAGCTGTACTTGACATGAACATTTTAGTGAAATTATACATGTTTCCAGCAAAGTATTTGTCTTCCTTACTGGACACAAGTTCTAATGCCATGGATTACAAAAAGTGTAAGTGCAGTTTTCTGGAGTTTTTTTTATTGAAGTCTGTACATGGATCGGCACACTGACTATAGGTAGATGAACTGACTGAAAGCTATCTAAGTCATATCAAGAGGAAAACGTAGTTATAACTTAAGAAAAACGTCCGCTTTTTTATTAGGCGGGGCCTGATCGGTAGTTGCCTGATAAAATATGATGGAGGATTGCCTCGGGTATGATCCCGTAAAATCCCGAAATAGAGTATATGTGACATTAGATATCGGTAGGGTGGGTGTTAGATTGACACGCCATGCTGGAATTTTCCTGTTCCTGACCCGCTTTGATTTAGATGGGGCAAACTCCCTTGACACTTCATTTTTGGACATAGAGGTGCTTACGTGATTCTTGCGATTTTTTTTGTAGTCTCCTAGCTGTACGTGGTTAGCGAGCGTTATTGTAGGGAAAACACAATGAAAGTTTTGAACTTTTGCTTTAACCTCTGCAAGTAATTTTCTCGATCCTTTGGGCTGTGAACTATGTGCTGCTACAAAGTTAAATCTTTAGATGGTAGCATAAGAAAATTCTTATTCAAGTATGTAGTTATTTAGAATATTTTTATAAATACTTTTCCACGCTTTATTGTCCTATCGTTTTGAATGCTTTTTATTTTAAAATTCGTATACCAGTAATAGAATTTTAAATTGCTATCTGTGAGCTTTACTACTCCGTATCAGATAATTGACAAACGTGAGTGTAATAGTAATATAATATTGTACAATATGATATACAATATAAAAGTTAAGAGTTAGTTTGAAATTTAATTACAACTTCAATTTTAAATTAATTTTCATATTAAAAACAACAACACGACTGCTTAAAGAAACTAGCTTCTTCTCTGTGCATAAAAATGTGAATCTACAGTATAAATGAGATCATATATTGTAAACTTGCTACATCATTGAATTTTTTAAAAATGTGCAAGCAAACATTTCAATAAACACAAGAAAAAATTTGCTTACGGAATTATTTGTAATTGAATACATTTTAAACGTGTTCAATTTAATTGATTAACACTAATTTTATGCTTGTTCCGAAAGTTATTTCGTTTGGTTCACTGTCGTGATTCAAAGTTCACTGACCAGTTGATTTATTTCTTTAACATGTTATGACATATACTCATATCGATAAACCATGGGTCACAAGTTTCTAATCAATACGGAAAGACCTCGATGTTGGTAAATATTTGTTGTGTAATGGAAAACAACTTGTTAAATTCTATTTGGAGTATTAGAATGAAAGTAAAGTGTTGAATAACATACCAAACTTTATTTTCCTATGACTTTATTATTTCCATACATACATTTACAAAATACAAATGTACTTTTTTTTACTAAATGAAACAACATATTTTTAAAAATTTAACAACATCTTTATCGCATTTTCAATTGATTAAATTAACAGATAAAATAAATTATACGTTGATCCTCATTTTTCTAAAATAATATGAAGAAATCTATGTTTGGATAGATTTACAATGAAAAATGAAACAAGAACATTAATAATGGTTTATGAATATGGTACTGTTCTTATTGTCATAAATGAAAGAATGTGGGGCTGTACAGACAGTTACGTCTCAATATGAATGCCTCTTATCAGGTGGAAACATGAATAAAAACATACAAAACGATAAAAAATTCAATTGAACCTTTGTGTATATTCATGGTTAGTTACGAGAGAGAAGAAATATAGGAATAATTTAATTATGAAATCTTTACTAATTTTTTATATTAAAAATAAAATATGAACTTTATTGTACGTCTGAATTATTTTAGATAGTTTTCTACCTGTGTTTTCTTTGAAAATAAAGCTTCTTATTCATCATGCTAAATTAACTGATAATTTTTCAAATTCTTCTCGGTTAATTCTTATATTTAAAATGAATGTTGATACATTAGACGCTAACTGCCTCTAGATTTCTGATATAATTTTTTCACTGTTTTCTAATTATTTATCCATTATCAACAGTTGGTTTAATTGTCTAACCTTTAAAAAAGAACTATTTTCAGTTATTTTCTGATTAACCTAACGTGATTGCATAATGTACTGTGTTAAGTACTTTTATGTAGTAATTTTGAAATATCTTCAAGATTGTTTCCAGTTACTGTCTTGTATAAAGCTAAAATAATGTAACAATTACATCAATTTTTTATATGTTACATAGGTAATCATTATTTAATATTAATGTAATTTAAAAAAATGTATAATTACATTGTAGTTCAGTAAAATTATAAATAACGTACTAAATAAATTTTTGTATTCTGAGTTTCCTTCTGCAACAATATTTATCTTTATATTTTCATTTTCTCAAAAATATTTACTTATTACTTTTCTTAAAAAATTATTCTAAATTTTTTAATGAAACTGGATGTATAGAGATATATAAAGTTCTCTATTGAATCTTGTTATATTTTTTAATAGAATTATCATCCTGTACCGGAAGTTTTTCGAAATTTTTAGTCATGTATTAAGAATTCAATTGCATACAATTTCCCTGTACTTAATCGTGATGTAACTCTGTTCTGGAATCTCCAGTTTCCCTGGCATTAAAGTTGTTTGTCCCACAGTATTCATGCTTTTTGAAAATGCTTATAGATACAAAATAAGATCTGTGATTTTACCTGGATTGGTTCCTATTAGACTTTCTTCAAGAATCCAGCGTGGTTTTTCATAATTTAACGAAGCCATTAATCCTTTCATGCAAATGGCGAACAGCAGTGCCAGCACCGTGAAAAAGCAAGTGTAAAACATCCCAGTTATAGCTAAAAATAGAACAGAACAAGAAATAAGTATCAGTGAGATCATTTTCTGATATTGCAAGTAACATTAAGTCAATGACCATTTCTCATTGCACAGTTTTTAGAATAACTTCAAATTTTTGATAAAAATCGAAATAAAATTTTTTAATTAATTGTTAATATTTAAACTGTTACAACTTCAAGAAAAAAAACGCAGAATATTCAATCTTAGTTTATTTTCACACTAGAACTACCAGGCGAGTTAAAATGACTCATTTAGAATTTCTATTTTTCCAAATATTGAGGAGGAACATATGGTTTCTTAAAATGTTATTAAATGAATTGATACAGTAATACGCAAACTATGTAAAAATTAAGAAAATCTTTTTTGACTGCTCGGTAGTTTTAGTGTTGAAATGTGAAGTTTCTATTTTCGCAGTTCAGAGTTTATTTTTTTCTAAAACATTTATACATTTTGTAACAGATGGAAAAGCTGAAATACGTTTCAAAAATTTTCCGAATTTAGACATCTGTACAGGCGTAACAAAATTTGTTTACAAGTAAAACTAGAATAGAAATTGGATCTGTTGGAATGGAAAGAATACCACGGATTTAAAGATTGGAGTCTCCTCTTTACAGTGACTCCTTTAAAACTTGACGTATGATTTCTTTTTATGGTTATATTAGAATTTTTTCTACTACAACAGAATTGTATTGAAACTTTATAAAGTCCAACACTTATAATTGGACTGAAGTCAATTCACGATTATTGGTGGTCGTAAAGTGAAGTATCACAAGAGAATTAACTCAGTGGTTCACAGATAGAATTCAGTGTCACGTAACTAATAATAATAATTAGTTTTGTCGTTAATCAAATTATTCTACAAAGCATATCACGCAACAGTGGAGTAGATCGAGGCGAATTGGATCACGAGGTAAAACGGAGAAAAATAAGAATATCGGTCACATTTGTTACGGTATTATAGAAATCAGCATGATGGCCGTCCATATTACTTCATGCACCTTCCCTACACTTAATCCAATACATCTTCAATTGTTTCAAATCGGTGTTTGCCACCAGCACGTGTTAAAATCGAAGCGAAAGCAACGAATTTGTGGCTAGTCTAAAATACGTAATTCGGCATTTCACATTTAAAATGGCAAGCTAAGTTTGGAAATTCAAATGTGTTGATTATTATTAGTCTTTAAGGTGTTTAAATTCAGTATTTAATGTACATTAGATTATTATATCGTATTTTGTTCATTTATCGTATTAACTTTGAAATCCTTCAAAACAGGGCTATTCGGATCAAACCGGAATGGGCGAATCGGATCTCAAGTTTCCCTCATTTTTTCATGTCTATGATTATAAATTTCATGATTATTTATGTATAGACCTTCAAAAAAAGGACAATTCAGGGATCAAGGTGCCTAGATATAATAAAAGACATTATTGTGTCAAACAGAGTCAAACCCAAAGAACTGACCGTACATCAAACTCCGGGATTTTATCGCATATTTTGTACAACCCTACAAAGATGACTCACTTGTCGAATAATTTAAAAAACCAATTTTACATTTGACTTCACCTGTCAATAAAATGATACTTCTTGAGAAACAACAAAAAAGCTTAAAGATTAGATCAGTGCAGGACACTATTAAAAGAAGGATGAAGATTAATAAGGACGAATGAAATAGTAACATATATACAGGATCTTCCAGAGAATTATTGCATTTACTGTAATGAAAAATTATTCCACCCACCATGAAAAAATTGGGTTCAATCTTTGCGAAAAGTCGCGTCACGAAACCTGTGTTAATAGATGTAGTGTTACAAGTTAGAATATTTGCAAAAAATGTGCCAATAATTGATTTTATTATCATTAAATTGTACAATTTTGAATGAAACAACAAATTTTTATACAAAATTGAATTCCTTTTTAGATCTCCGAATGATCAGCGAAAAACTAATAGTTAAAATTTAAAATGAACATTTTCTTTTATTTTGTTATTAATACACGTTCAGATTCAATATCAGTAGAAAATTTTCGAATAACTTAAAAATCTTCGTTTTATAAGCAAAAACTGGAAAGTGAGGAATATCCGACTCACCCCAAATTCCAGTTTTTTTACTGATATTTTATTTTTGTTATTACTATTGAAGCTGAATGTCTAATTAATAAGAAGTTTATGAAAAAGGTGTTGATTCTAAGTTTAAACCCTTTGCGCTCGAAAGGTGACTCTTAGTCATCACTAGGTTTGATATAGCAAAATTATAGTCTTATATATTATAGAATATTATGCTTCGTATAATAAATCGATACGTGGAATATTGAAATGAAATAGCCTTCTTTCTTAATTTACGTACGTTTTCTTGTTTTTTAGTTTCGAAGAACGTCGTTTATATCTCATTGAGGAATGTTGTACATTTCTAGTGAAAAACTTTCGAGTGTAAAGGGTTAACTATTAGTTTGTCACTGTTAAATCTGAACTGATCCGATTCGCCTTGGTCCACCCTATTATTAAGTACATCAGTTTCGGTTCCGGTTGTTCAGCACCGATATTACATCGATTCTGTATCGGTTCCATGGATAAGTGTTATAAGATAAGTCGGGGAGAGGTGGCCCACTTTCTTAAAAAAGAACTATTACATCGTAAATATCATTAACATCTAATAAAAATAAACTATATGTATGAAAGTAAATACATCTAAGAAGAATAGTTGAATAGGCATTTGAGAAAGATTCAGTATACCACTGAAAGCAATTGAAAATATACATTTGAAAATCTAAATGAGATTAGGCCATCTCACTCACAGAGTCATTTCATCCGAAATTACCTTACCTGATAATAGTTGCGACTCTATTTTCGTTCTTTATAACTTTCAAGAACCGGAATTGATATCATAACTCTGTCCAACCCCTGCAGACAAATCTACTTAATACCTGCCGCACGCTTAACGCCAACTCGGACGGTAGCTACCTGTCACCTAAACCACGCCGACCCTTCTGTCTCGACGCAGAAAGAGGGCGCGGTCAAGAGATTATAAACTGTGGTCTACCCTTTTTGTTCCTTCGCCACAATAATTAAGCTTACAATTTATTCATTGACTTTCCACAAATGTATTTCTGAAATGTTTACTAGGGGCGTGTAGGGTAAATGGGAACGGATGAGCTGGTATTGAGCTGATATTGTATGCCATAGACCTAATAAGTCCTCGTTATAGTTTTTGATTGACTGCAGGATAGTGCACAAGTATTATATACGAAAAACGTTAGTGTTCCGTTTTATCCAACCGTTCCGTTTCACCCTCTCGCCTCTACGTCTTTCGTTTCAAACTAATTCACACTGATGACGGTATTACAAAATTTTATTGAAACACAAAACCAGCTTGTATGAGGTGATAATTTTGCTAGTTAGGACACAATAGTCAATTCGAAGACAAATTAGTTTTATTATGTATTTATTAAGGAGAGTTGTTCATTTCTAATCCATTTCCGTATTGGTCACGCAACAATGGTGCTTTGATTAGTCAGATTCGTTAGATTAATACAATAGTTTAATAACTAAATTATTAATCATAACAATTGTCAATTTCTTTGTACATTCACATATTTTTCGTGAGAAGGATCATATGTTAACAGAATTAATAGTTTACCTCTTTTTTTCTACAAACTTACAAAATATTATCGGTCGCCAACGAAAATTCTCTCACTTAACCACCGGCCGATTAAGTGTTAACCCTTTGCACTCGAAAGGTGACTCTCAGTCACCATTTGATTTGATGACAAATTACAAAGTGTTATATATAATATTAATTTACGTACGTTTTCTCATTAGTTCGTTTCAAATAATGTCGTCTATGTTTCATCGGAAAGTGTCGAATGTTTCTAGTGAAAAGCTTCCGAGTGCAAAGGGTTAACCCTTAGCGGTCGACAATTTTCTATTAATTCTTTGCGGACGAGATTGTCTTAAACTTCTACCATTTCTTTGCATAAAAAACTGAATTACGCATCAAAGTCTTAAATACTAAAAGAAAAATATCACGCGTCGGTCTCTCGTTAGTTGAATAATTAAATTATTCATTTGCAGTTTTCGATTTTAGATATCGAAACTCGAAGTCACCACTGCATCGACATTCGACCGCAAAGAGTTAAAACAGGAACCAATATTAATGCAATGATAAAACCTTTTTATGAGGGTTTTTTGTAAATGAAACTTTTATTAACGTATTTGTGAGATTCTTCTCATTAAAACAAGACCAAACGTGACATACTTTAAATTACAATTTACTAGAAGAAAATAAATTATTGTAATTTATCGAATAAGTAAATAAGTTTCAAAATATATCGTGTGTGTAATAGTCTGCGTGATAATAGTTTCAACCAATAATAGTGCAAAGTAAAAAAGTTTAACATTGCATTTATGTCCCCTCATTCATCTGTTTGTTTTGATCGTTCCGAAATTCGGGTCTCTTGTTTTTTCATATGCACTATCCTTTTCTACGGAGGACAAACGGAAGAGTGCAACTCGGATCTTATCTCGACTTGGAATCAATACCACTGCACGATTAGTACCCAGTTGCAATCCCGATTTTCGAGTATAGTGAGGCTCCGATTTACGTTGTTTCACAGTTACATCGTCTCTATGTAACGCGGTAGTCATTTGGTTTTAACCAATATTTCTTGCTCTATGTGTTTAGTTTTAACTGAATCAATCTGAAACTTACTTGAGCAAAGAATTTTTATGGGTAAATAATGTTAGATTATATAGTTTCTACACAGTTTAAGAGCTTATAGAAATATATTTACAGTAAACGTAAATACACAAGTGTAATTAATCGAGAATTAAGACCATTGTTTACGTATGTGTAATGGCACTACAGCGTCAAGTGTCCTCATCTGTACATTATATTGTTGAAAGAAGAAATACTGTAAGTGTAGAAACTAAATTAGGTATAATAAAACTTGTTGATAGTGGAATACAAGGTTTTGAGATTAACTAAAAATAGCCAGAAACAATTG